TTGGTTGGAATCATTCGGTAAGTTAGTCGTTTTTGTGAATGTTTGCAAGGATCCTAGAAGGACCTCTAGCTTTGTAAACCCGAGCAACCTTGGCGCTTATCATTTGGTATCAAAGCATTGGTCGACATCCTTTGGCCGGCTCTATAGGTGAAATATCTTTACTTTATGTAAGTTTATTTTTCTGTTATTTTCCTTTTTCGAAAGTAGTTTCTTACAAAGTGTAACAAGACATAACTTGTCTTGAAATTCCTGTATTTTGCTTTCGGATCATTAGCAAAGAAAAAAAAATTAGAAGCAAAAGATAAAAAAAGGAACAAAAAACAGAAGCAAAAGAAAGAAAAAAAAACAGTAGCAAAAAGAATGAAAACCGTAGAAAAAAGAATGCATTCGAAGATCCGAGGCACACGAAAAGTTCTTTTCATTATGTTGTGTTTTGTTTAAATTATCAAGTTGTTTATCCTAAGATTGAGTTGCTGTAGCCTTAGTTTGTGAGAGTTGATCATTGAATTAGTTATATCAAGCTTTAAGCAAGATTGCACCAAAATTTAAGCCAACCCTTACATCTTTGACCTAGTACCAAAAGCCTACCCTTGASTGATAAACASGAGTGTCCTTGAGTGRAATCTTGGTGAGAAGAGTGGTAAGGTCCTTATTATCATTATTATTGTTTCTAACAAAATGGCACAGGATGGAGTACCACAAGTACCGCAAGATCCTAACGCGGTGATTCTTCAAGCAATTCAAGGAATGATGGAAATGATGATGGAAGATAGACAAGAAAGGAGAGCGCAACAGCAAAGAGAAGAACGAGCCTTATAAGAAGATGATGTGTTTGACCTTGCTGAACAAGAAAGACAAGTTGGAGGAAGAAGAAATGGGAGAGGAAGAGGACGAAATAACTTTGCCAACACTATGCAACCTAGAAGATTGGAAAGATTAAATGAAAATAGGGATGGCAGAGTTAAACTCAAAATCCACCCTTTAGTGGAATGGCGGACCCCGATTCTTACTTGCAATGGGAAAGGAAGATAGAACATGTGTTTGATTGCTATACGTATAGTGAGAATACGAAGATGAGACTCGCCATTGCTGAATTCACCAATCATGCCGGTGAATGGTATCAAAATCTCAAATTAGAAAGAAGAAGGAAGGAGGAGGATCCATTAGACACTTGGGAATATCTCCAAGAAGCCATGAGAAGGAGGTACGTTCCAAAACACTATGAAAGAGATTTGAAAACTAAACTGCAAGCTTTGAGGCAGGGAACGAAAAGTGTTGCTGAGTATTATCAAGAGATGGAGACCTTAATGCTAAAAACCCAAATYCGAGAAGAAGAGGAAGAYACCATGTCTAGATTCCTTGGAGGTTTGAATCGAGAAATTGCTCATGTTGTTGATAGAAATCCACCGCCTTACCTAGAAGATATGTACCATTATGCTGTCAAAATTGAAGATCAATTGAAGGAAGAAAAG